GCCCGCACCTCGGCCGCCCCCCTCCTGCTCCCCCTCCTGCTCCTCCTCCTCCTCCTCCTCCTCCTCACTCCTCCTCCTCTGTCCTCCCCTGTTCCCATCCTCCTCCTCCTCCTCCTCCTCCCCCTCCTCCTCCTCCTCCTCCTCCTCCTCCTCCTCCTCCTCCTCCTCCTCCTCCTCCTCCTCCCCTGGTCTCTCCTCCTCCTCCTCCTTCTCCTCCTCCTCCTCCTCCTCCTCCCCTGGACAGGGCTGGGCCTAAATGTAAGTCGGGCGCGCCCCTCTACAGGAATCGGGGGTGGACAGAACCCCAAACACTGACGCAACGATTAGTGACTTGTCCGTTTTCGGTTCTCGACAGGGCGCCGTGGCCGTTATTTTCCAGGCTTGCGCCCGCCAGGTTTGGGCCTCAGGTCGTTTTCACTAAACCACGTTTTACTAAAGGGGGGTCTGTCCATCCTCGACTTAAGTCGGGCGCGCCCCTCTACAGGAAGAACATGTCAAACATAGTCTAAAGATAGTCTGGGGACGAATTTGTTGGTTATTTTTGGACATTGTACGAGTGTGGCTAACGGTTCGTCCAAAATCCGCCTGCAGGGGGACATGCCCGACCTGAGCCTAAACGTTGTGATGCAGGGCTTCGGCTGTGTTTTGTTTTTTTTTTGTTTCGTTCTTGGCAGGGAGGCACAGGAAAACGGGTACAGTGGAGACCCGTGCCAAGAAACACCCTGCTTGCCTCCAGGGTGCCCTGGGTCTCTTGGGTCTCGATGGCTTTGCGATGGAAACGTGACGTTCCCACACCAAAGATCAGTGGACGTCCTGGGGTCTCAGGGTTGGTTTTCTTGTGGAAGGTTTCTTGTGGTCGGGCCTCCACTGTATGGTAGAACGGAACACAGAATGAACACAACACGAAAAGCAACGTTTAGGCCCGGTCCTGCTCCCAGAAAGACAAGTGTCGGGAGCATGGGGCTCGGGAGAGAGGATCAGATCATCCGTATCATCGCGCATGTCGAGCCAGTCAGTCAGTTGCATCGAAGCAGAACAAACGCTACAAACATAAATTGTTGGCGTTCCAAGCGGATATCTTGGATCTGCGATGGGCCCCCCTGGCGGCGCCTCCAGCGCCGCCCTTGGCGCGCCCAGCACACCAGGGAGGGGGTCCAGCACAGATCCAAGAAATCCGCGCGAAGCGCCAAAAGTTTATGTATACGGCGTTTTTGGTTATTATTATTCTTATCCCTCTTCTTCTTCTTCTTCCAGTATCATCGTGTATGTTGAGTCAGTCAGTTTGTCAGAAGCCTTGCACCCCACGGTGCGCTAGCAGAGATGGGAAACATGCACTACATGTGCCACGATCGCACGGCCAAAGCCCAAGCTCGCGCTGCACCGCCCTCCCGGCGGAAGTCATCAGCAAGGCGAGCGGCGGAGCCGGCCTCACGCAGACAATTGATCATCACCATGTTATCCCAATTCCGTCGGGACCGGCCTCTCTTCCGAGGTCCTGATGGCGCTCGTACGTCAATGCTGCTAGGTTCAAAACACAGACATGCGCGCTGGGTCGATGCTGGAGCGTCTCGCAAGCTTGCCTACCTGAAGAGCAGATGCTGCTTACAGAGCGTGCGTACGCTGAACGGGCTCATTACGCAGTCGCGCCACGTATCCTCCTCCTCCTCCTCCTCCTCCTCCTCCTCCTCCTCCTCGTCCTCTTATTCCTCTTCTTTCTCCTCCTCCTCCTCCTCCTTCTGCTCCTCCTCCTCCTAACACGATCCGTCCTCTGCCTCCACCTTCCCCTCCTCTTCCTCCTCCTCCTCCTCCTCCTCCTCCTCGTCCCTTATTCCTCTTCTTCCCTCCCCTCCTCCTCCTCCTCTGCCTTCCTCCTCCTAACACGATCCGTCCTCTTAATCCCTCCTCCCCCCGTCTCTTCCTCCTCCCTCCTCCCTCCCTCCATCGTTCCATCCCCCCTCCTCCTCCTCCTCCTCCTCCTCCTCCTCCTCCTCCTCCTCCTCAAACGATTCGTCCTCAAACGATTCGTCCTCCGGCGGGCCCCTCGGAGGCCCGCGGGGCCTCGAGGAGATCAGGCGTCAGAGTTCTGTCGGGCGTGCCCCCCCTACAGGGGGATTTTCGACGAAAAATACAACATACCCGAACAAATATTCCCAAAAAGGTCAAAACATAAGCAACAGATTGTCCCCAGGCTATGTTGTGCTGATTTTGGTTTGTCTAATTGGGGAGTATTTTTAATGGTTCGTCGAACATCTCCCTGTATGGGGACAGGCCCGACTTAACTTCAGAGCCCAAAATCGCCGGAGTGACCTTTCGCCGGAGTGAACTTTGGTGCGGGCACAGCTGGGTCCCCAGAGGGCCGAAAGCGAAGCAGGAGCAACGGCCTGCGTGCCCAGGCTTGGTCCCCACGCGATCCCCAAAAAGCCGCGCACCAAAGGTCACTCTTACCCAGGGTCATTCTTGCGTGTAGCCGACAAATCATCAGGGGTAACTCGCGACAGGGCTAACTCGGGCTTGATTTCCGGGAGTCCGAGCCCGAGTTGCCCCGGGCCCGAGCTGCCCCGGATGCCTCGGGCGCCCAAGAGGCCCCCTGCCTCCCCTCTGCTTCCTGCCCTCCGAGAAGCCCCCCCGGGCCCCCTCGGCAAGGTCCCCGGGGGGGCCTTCTGAGAGGGCCCCCCTGCCTTGCTCGGAGGCCCCCTCTGTCTTTCTCCGCAGGTCGCCCCCCTCCCGCGACCCGCTCGTGCGCGCCGCGAGCCGACGGGGGGGGGTGGGTGACGCCGCCTCTTCGGGGGACCGCGCCTTGTGCCTGGCGCGGGCTCGATGCGGACTCGACGCGGACTTGGCGTGGATCCGACGCGGATTCGACACGGATTCGGCACGTATCCGACGAGTCCGACATGCATTCGTCACGGATTCGACTTGGGTGTGCTCGCGACGGGACATACAAGTCCCGGGGAAGGGGTCCAGACCTCTGGGGGCCGACGTTGTGAAAAATCACGATGTCAGGGGTCTGGGGACGAGGATCAATCCGTTCCAGAGCGTTCCGGGACGCTCTGGGAAGGCCGCAGCGCCGGAGATATGCTCCAGAGCTGGCGGATCTCGGAGCTTCTTTCGATGTATCCTCACCTGATGTTGTCCTCGTCCTGGTTTCGTCTTAGTTCCGACCGGCGGCGAACCCCCCTTTTCGATGGGCAAATGTCCCACCACCGCTACTCTCTATATATATATATATATATGTATAGGACGGGGGAGAAGGGAGGACAAGAAGGTCCCCCTCCTCCTCCTCCTCCTCCTCCTCCTCCTCCTCCTCCTCCTCCTCCTCCTCCTCCTCCTACTCGTTCTCCTCTCCTCTTCCTTTTCCTCCTCCTCTTCCTCCTTTTCCTCCTCCCTCTCCTACATACGGCAATGGTGGTGGAAAGTGGGCCCATCACTTTTCGGGGCTCAAGGGGCGGCGAGGGTCAACGCAAACGGGGGTCAGCCAGCGCGCCGGGTCTTGCGGGATCCTGCAGCGCCAGGGCTGCGCTGACCCGGGCTTGCGCGGGGGGTCCTGCGGGATCATGCAGAGCCCGATGGACCCGGGCTTGGATTCTCTAGGGTCAGTTGATCCCCGACCTTTAGTGTGGAATTCTTACTAGGTCAGAACTCTGGATCGGTTCTGGTTTTTTCCGACAAGTGAGCGACACCAGAAAATTGCATCGTCGGCGCCGACATGCATCGGTTCTGGTTTTTTTCCGACAAGTGAGCGACACCAGAAAATTGCATCGTTGGCGCCGACATGCAAGCGGAAGCTGCCCGCGGAAGCTTGCGACAGCTCCCTCGTCTCCAATGCAGCTTGCCGCGCTGGCGGCCCGCGTAAACCGCGGCGTAAGGTCGCCATGTCATCTCACGTAAGACCCGTTTTCGATCGTCGCTCAAGTGGCCTAGTCAACGCGATCCCGCTTGATTTTGTGCAATCCCGCTTAAGCTGGAAGGTTGATAGACCTCCTGCCCTGACACGTCGATTAGCGAATTGGCCGTTTTCGGTTCGCGAGAGGGCATCGCGGCCGTCATTTTTGCGGGTGCAGATCCGTCGGTTTTGATCCTAGGCCGTTTTCGCTGAAGGGAGGTTTGCTAAAGGGAGGTTTGTCCACCGCCGATTGTCTGGCCCATCCTCTGGATCGACCCCCTGCCTGATCCGGCCCTGGCCCTCTGGCCTCCTCCGTCGGGCTCAATAACCAGCTCTGGAGCGCTCTGGCGAAAGGACCTCCCAGGAGCTGCCTCCTGACAGCCTCGAGCTCGGCGGCACACACCAGGGGGGAGGGGGAGGGGGAGACGGAGGAGTAGGAGGAGGAGAAGGAGGAGGAGGAGGAGGGGGAGGAGGAGGAGGAGGAGAGCGGGGGAGGAGGAGGAGGAGGAGGAGAAGGAGGAGGAGGAGGGACGTGGAGGAAAAGGAGGAGGAGGAGGAGGAGGAGGAGGAGGAGGAGGAGGAGGGATGTGGAGGGAGGGGGGGCGGGTTCTGGTCTCTTTCCCCCCGCAGCCCTCGCCGCGCGCCCTCAGGGGCACTGCGCAGCCTCGCGGCGGGCTGGGCCCCGGCCCCTGCCGCCCGCCCACGGCGGGGGTCCCCACGGCCCCCCCGCGGGCCCTGGGCCTCCAGGGGAGCCCGAACCGAATGGGTCGCCCGGCGGGCTTGGCGCGACGACGACGACGACGACGACGACGACGACGACGACGACGACGACGACGACGACGACGACGACGAGTCGACGACGACGAGTCGACGACGACGACGACGACGGCGACGAGTCGACGACGACGAGTCGACGACGACGAGACGACGACGACGACGGCGACGACGACGACGTCGATGCGGTGGGGGCGCGTCGTGTCGGCGCGGCGGCGCCCCCGGCGCGGGCGCCCTGCGTGGGGCGGAGCGCCGTCGCCGGCCGTGGCCGCGGCCAGCGCCATGGGCAAAAGGCGCTGAGCAGGGCCGAGGGTCGGAGAGCGCCTTCCTTCTAGGCCTCCTA